ATTTTTATTAGTATTGATACTCTTGCTATTACTATTATTATTAATAACAATAATTATTGTCATTCCGAGATTATATATATATATATATTATATATATATATATATATATGCATGTATGTATATGTGTACATATAGATAGATAGATAGATAGATAGATAGATAGGGGCCCGAAGAGCTAGAATGCAGTTTTAAGGTCCATTATACTATGCTAGTTCATATTTCTTCCAAGGTGACCAGTGCCCGCATCCGCTCGGCTGTCTCAGGAGCTTTCCCGGGGGCACCAGGGCAGTGACGGAAAACTGGACAAGATGTTGGCTTTACTGGATGAAGGCTGGCAGGGAATACGGGGTGAAGGGATCACGTATGCTCAACCTTAAACCCCGAATCATGAACGCGCTGCGCAATAAAGCATGCACCTCTTACAGTAACAATACAAAATAAAGCCCCAACCTCTGGACAGTCTTGTTTTTCATGATTCCGTGCTTGAGCACCGGCTGCGAAAACCTGTCAGCTCAGTAGATACGGAGAGGTAAACAAGGGTACTGGCAATGTGCAGAGTTTGGTGTCTGTTTCGCATTGGGTGTCGGGTTCAAACGGTGGCTTTGGCTTTGGAGCCAGTTGAACATCTGAATCGTTTGAATAGATAAACTCAAGGCCACAACTTCGAACCCAACCACCAAAATCCAAATGCAGAAACATTTAATGGGCTCGAACATCCGAGCCCAAGGCACCAAACCCTAAACCGGGCCGAAGAGACTGAGACGTTAAGCTTTGGACCCCGGAAGTCTCAAAAGCCAAAGCCGAACCCTCGCATTCCCGAATTTACGAAGTCAAAGAAGAAACATAGCAGCTTCGGTTCTAAGCCGGATCATTTTCCAGCGTTTTTGTGCTTTTCATGATCCCAGGGTTTTGATGCTTTTTAACATTTGAATATGTTCGTAGTACACGTATGCAGCAGGAGCAGTGAGGAATTGTGGTGGCAACAGCACTCAGCAAGATAGTCATGGTGGAATCACGCGAACCTGCGGAATGTCAACACTCACAACTAAAATACATGTATATATATATATATACACATGAATATAAATATAAATATAATATATATATATATATATGTATATACGTATATGTTGGTCATGTCATCGAGGGTCACTAGTCTAGTCGTGGCCGCGTGCCCTCGAGATGCAAATTTAGACTTTCTAACAACATTTATGTACCCCATGGTCGTTTCATTACAAGTACTGTTCACAACATGTATAGTAGTGGTTGAAGAGCACCATCTGCAGTGGCATGCATCTTCGCAGCATTGCAGGACCGAGTAAGACTAGTATCAGTACTACTCGTACTCGTACGAGTAATGGTCTAGTGTTGGTCGCTGGCTCGTTAGAAAGTGTGGCGGGCAGTACCCGCCAAACTGTCAGGATTAGCGCAGTCCTTAGTAGAAGTCTTCAGATTAATTTCTGGTGTGGCAGGCAGTAGGGAGCAGAGCAACGACAGTAGTAACATGAGTTTTAGAGATCGATACTGCCATAGTGGCAATAGCGACTTCAAGACTAAACAATGACCGCCGACCGCACAGAGTTTGTACTGTACCGACGATACTATTCATCAGTCTTATCATGTTATCAGCAGGATGCGAAGCGATCAAGTACATCAACTACAGCTGCTGCTGCTGCTGTTGCTTGTTTCCGTTTACGACTGCCACTGCTGATGCTCCTACTCCTACTGATACTCCTCTTTCTCCTCCTCCTCCTGCTACTCCTCCTGCTCCTACTACTGCTTGGACGACCGGGACTCGGACTGGGGCTCGGACTGGGACTAGGACTGGGGGTGGCCGGGCTGCGACTGTGACTGCGACGACTATGGCTATGTCTACGACTACGACTACTACAACGGCGGCATCTACGGCTGCGGCTAGCAAGTTACGACTGCGACCGCGACCATGTCTACAACGACGACGACCAATCGACTCTGACTACGACGACCGTTATGGCTACGATTCCGACTACGGCTAGGACTACGAACACGACAACGACTACAACATGACGACCTCGACGACTGCTGTTACTACAAGTGGTGGTTTCACGAGTGCTGTGAGTGGAGAGCATGGCTTGGTGGGAGTGTGGATACAGCTGGCAAAGCAGCACGATTACTAGCAGTAGCCTCGGAATGGTGGTAAATATTTTAAGGTCAACACGGGGAATGTGTAAAGGACAGCGGCAGTATGGTCAATGGTGAAATGTTCAAACACCAGTAGCTACAATATCAGCTTTTCCGGAACATTCCTAAACTTCAACGAGGCTTATCCAGAAGTGGTGCATCGCCAACACCTCCAAAGTAGAACTGAGGTTTCAGTTTTTTTGTTTCAGGTCCCCCTTTGTCAAAGAACGATGTTGAACTAGTACCAAGTCGTACACTACACGGATTACATAGAATCAACATCCTTTGAAAGGTTGCTAGTATATGCTACTATGTGGTCTAGTGATGTTGAAGGTTTGTGGTGATGACAAGGGTTTCACAACGTTGAACTCTTTCGGTAGGTCTTCTTTCGAGAATGTTGGAGTTCCAAAAGCTCTCACGGGCCTCGCCGCGCAACCCTGCAGCGACCAATTGCAGGAAAAAAGAAAGCGACAAAGCCTCGGAAACAGGCCCGTGGATATAAGCATCTTGTATCGTTCCATATACCCAAGAGTTACGGATACATCTGCAGCAGGCGTTTACAAGCGTTCGACCAAGTGGATGAGGGCTTGTGGGATGTCAGGAGTGTAGCATGAAGGGCTTGATTTATGCTTCAGGGCCTGTCGAGTGAAGTCCTTATCTCAGGATCACAGCTGCAAATGCAGTCGCAGTCGTCGTTGCCCTCGCCGTCATCGCCGGCTTCGCTGTGTGATGTGTAGGTGTAGCAGTAGTTGAATTGCAAGCACCGGCGGAGGAAGATCATTAGTTGCAGCAGTCGGCTTTGTTGTCGTCGTCAGCAGCAGCAACGGCAGTGGCAGTGGTAGCCGGCAGTACCATCAGCAGCAGAAGAAAGCGTAGTTTCAGAAGCAATAGCACCGAGAGGAGAGGAAGAACTAGAATAAGAACATTTAGAAGTAGGCGTAAGATTAGACGTTCAGAGTAGCAGTAGCAGTAGCAGTAGCAGCAGCAGTAGCAGTAGCAGTAGCAGTAGCAGTAGCAGTAGTAGTCGTCGTCG